GGGGGGGGGGAGAGAGAGAGAAATGACGTGAAAGAATGACGAAAGACAGAACAGCAAGAAAACGCACTGCGTGTATTTTTTCCTTGCAGTGAGAGAAGTACGCAACGAAAATGAAAGACCTTACAAAACACACATTTTTAGACAACGGGAAACACACGACAGCCTGGATCTCAAAGTTGTCCTTTAGATAAACTATCTCTGTGACAAAAGAAAGCGGAAGAACCGAATATAACTAACTCCCCCCCCCCCCTATTTTATCTTCAGTAGTGTGGGTTCTTTTTTTTTCAGTGGTAATGTTATAATATTTTTCCCGATTTTCTGCTGGCATTTTTCGCACAAAAAAGAGCCGTCGTGATCATATCGTGATAACTTGTATTACTAAGTGTTGACGGAACTCCCTTTGCAGAACAAAAAGCATCAAGCTTCACACGACACGTTCACGTCTTAGGCCACACCAGATCGACTTCTATTCTCGTTTGTGTTACATAACAACAAAATTCTTTAGTTTTAGTAAGCGTTTTACGGCACTTGCAATACAATTAGGTCATATTAGTGACGAACTTAAGAGGTATTACAAAAGAGTAACAAACACAAAAAAAGAAGAAGGAGAGATAATGACGATAGATATTTGAATAAAGAGGAGTAAATCAAACCAGAGCATTCGCCACCCACCCGTCATCCTTGTTCTGGATAATAATTGCTAGAAATATGATCAAGACAAGACGCGAGCATTCATATTTTTACAGCAGATACTCCTTCTCTTTTCCTGACAGCCTAACACATACACATTTTCCGAGTGGCAGTTGTTTTCTTTAAATCGCAAAGCATATATAGCTACATTTACTGATATGGCGACTTTTTAAAAAAAAGACCAAGAAGATGGAAAGGCATCAGAGATTGCGAAAAGGAAAATGTAAAAATTGATATAAAAAGCTCCTAACGCAAAAAAAACTACGTGATAATACTCGAGAGTTATGGGAATGTGCTTTCCTTCAAGGATGAATACCTTAAGAGTTTTGTGTGTGTGTGTGG